CATTTCCACTCTGGAGCCTTCGGCCGCCATCTCCCGCTGCCGCTTAGAGAGCAGCGAACTACTCGGAGATAGGAGGGGCATCCCCATCCGCCCAGCTATTGTGCTCCGGGCTCGCTCCAGTCGCTCGCCCGCCCGGATTAACTCGTCAGATTCTCCCCGCTCACTTTGGGGGTCCAACAGAAGACCAGGAGAGGGAGCTCAGGCCTCGGGTGCCTCAGATTCGTCTAGACCCACGTCGAAGCCCTCGATGTCTTCAGCCGGATCCTTTGAAAACCACTCCCTAGCAATTTGACGACCCCTCTGCCTCGAAGTACGGAGAGGCCCTCTGGGAGGACGCCCGTGCTCCGCCAGACACGAGCTCTGGAACCAGAAGCCATCGGGATTAGCGCTGGCACCCCGATACCACCGGCAGTACAGGAGCGTATGGTGCAAATCACGATCCTTCACAGGTAGTTCAAAATGGGCATGGGTACCGCCAGCATGAGTCCAGAACCATCCCCGAGCTCCATCCACCAGCCCTCCTTCAAAGTGTAGGCGGGGATTGACGTTGCCCACATACAGTTGGTCATACCCGAACTAGCGGGCAAACCGCTCGAGGTAGCATACGGAGCCTATTCTTAGGATATGATACCCCAGCCGAATGTTCACCAACCATCGAAAAGCGCCGCAGGAGAGAACGGTGTGATGGTCCACCGTCGGCACATCTCTAAGAGACTCCCCATATCCCCCTCCACTGAAGTAGGGGAAGAAGCGGAGAAAGTTATAATGCCCGAAATGGGAGAGCGTCTTCCGTGCATCGGGAATATCTTTACACTTCCAAGAGCACCTCTCCAAGCGCTGAAGGAATGGGACGAACTTGTCTCCTTGAAGAGTCGTTGGGGCACTCATCAAGCACTCGCAGTGGTATACGAACCACGCCATCAGATAAGTGTACGGCAACCCCACCCTAGGGTTGGGGGTCCTGACGACCTCTCCTTCCCCCTCATCGATAGTCGATACGCGGCAGAATTGGACCGTCAGGGTGCGGAGCCCCCGGTGGATACACGCTATCATCGCCGATACTAAGGAATAGGACTTCCCGTGGGCTAAGCAAACCGCCGGATACACAACTTCGACGGGAAGAGCCTCAAAAGAGTGAGTGGGGATTACGCACCTCTTTAGCCACAACATGAGGTACCCCGCGAACAGAGCCTTTCCAGATATAGGGGACTGGGCTTGGTGGTGAAACGAGTGGAAGACCGTTCCGGACTTGAACCCGCCCTCGTCATGCTCGAGAGCTACAGTGGCTTCCCCTTCGGCCATCCTCCTTTCCACTTCAGCCTGGTCACATTCGCTCAGTGGCAGAGCAGGCCTTCCTTTGACATCATTCTCAGGGAATAAATAATTAACCCAGTTCTTGTGGCTGATCCCCGGGGCCCTCTTCTTCTTACCTTTGTGGTCGACCGCCCCTAAGGTATTAAGGCATATATGATAGTGATAGAGCAATTCCCACAGGGTCTCGACCACCAAAGGGGAGCGGTCTGAAAGTTGGTCAATCTCATCTTGACCTGGAACGTACTCCTCATACGGAAAGTCTCCTAAAGGCAGTCCTGACACGTCGTACATCTCGTGAAGGGCTATGTCGAGCTCCCCGTTGGGGGTGAAAAACGTGCCACTGTCCGCACAATACAGCTCCAAGATGCTATGGA